CCTGTAGTCTCAGCTACTTGGGAGGCAGAGGCAGGAGAATCACTTGAACCCAGGAGCTGGAGGTTGCTGTGAGCTGTGATGTCACAGCCTCTACCCTGGGTGACAGCTTAAGGCTCTGTCTCAAAAAAAAAAAAAAGTGGTGAACTAATACCTTTTGGAAATCCTGGGCAGAGCTGGGAGACTCTTCCTCTAAGCAGAACAACCCAAGGAAGCAGAGACAGAGGAGTTGCCGGTCAGATCCGCCCATGTCCTGGGGTGGGGGTGCTGGTGCCGCCACCGCCACGATTAAGACTCCTGACCTTGACAGCAATAAGGAAGAGCGGCCGATACAGCTGACCGATCTGAAGGTGGAGTTGTCCCAGCTTCACGGAGCGAAAGTGACCAGGACGTGGGGTCCAGACTCTCCAAGAGCCATCGCCCGTGTTCTCACCGTCATCAACCAGACTCAACAGAAAAGCTTGGGAAGGGCAACCAGGGCAAGAAGTACCAGCCCCGGGATTTGCAGTCGGAGGCAGCACGGGCCGCGGCCGCTGCCCAACCGCTCCGGGAGCGCGCGGGGAACCCGAGGGCCGCAGCGGCGGGGCAGGAACGGCCGCACCCAGCACGGGAGAGCGGCGGGCCCAGTCTCTGGGTGTGAAAAAAAAACCCACCCGCAAAACTGGAACACACACACGCTCACAATTCAACTGGGATTAGAATGATCAACGTCCACGCGCATATTTGCTAGTAAACTCAGGGGAAAGCAGGCAGGGGGAGGCGCGGGAGGGAGGGGGGACTTCACACTTGGGAGGTGCAAGGGCCACTATCCCGTGAAGGGCACGCTTAGAGCTTCGATTCAAACTGCACAAAAGCAATCCGTGTAATCAAAAGCTTTGTACCCAGTAATATTGAGAAATTTTTTTCTTTAGTATTATTTTTTTTATTCTAAACATTTTAAGACAAAAAGCACAGATACAAATTATCCAGTTGCATTTCCGCAGTGGAGCAGCCACCAGGCAGCTGCGGAGTCCCAGCCACGCTCCTCCTTGTGCCCTATACCCCAGTGTGAGAGCCCTGGCTCCCCCCTGCCCACCCCACCCCCGCCCCCCAGCCGGGCTTCTGTGGAGCTGTGGCTTTGGCCTTGAAGTAGAAGGGACTGTTAGAAGGGAAAGTCTGGGGTCAGGGGTCAGGAGCTAACCTCCAGGGTTTGGCCTTCAGTGTTAATGTGGGGATGGCTTCTCTGCAAAGACCCATGTTTCACTTGCTGTGAGCCTGTTAAGGGCTGAACCCAAGTGCTTTCTCCCTCGCAGCCTAATTATTATTTATTTGGGGCTCCAGCTTCCTGCCCTGGCAGTTTCTGTTAGACCAGTTTCTTTAAAAAGTCGCCGTGAACAAATACCAGAGAAAAGCAAGATATTAAAACTCTGGGTCTTAAAAAAAGAAGTGTTGTTTTTACATAACTCGAATTTTAGTTCCCACCCAGGGTTTAAACAAAGTGCTCTTCAGAATAGAGGGTGCCTGTTGGCTGAGAAAGGGTTTTGCAGCGGGAGGAGTTGGAGACTGGTATTGTAGGCATTTGATAGTGACTGCCCTGGGCTTCAAGGAAAGAAAATACAGGAGGATTGTACCTTGGGTTATGTCCTACCTACGTTCCTGAAAAGTTATATGAAAACATTTTGAATGATTCCAAAGTGCCACAGGTGAGCTGAAGGACTCTTACCAGAACATTTTTTAAAGTGAGGCCCCTGCAGGGCTGGGACTAAGGTGAGCCAAGTAAGGGGAGGCCCAAACATTCCATAATTAGGACAAACAATCTTTTAATGCAATATTCTAACAAAATGAATTCAAAAAATCCACTTGAGCAAATTATCAGCTTTTTTAGGATAGATGTTTTTTGGCCTCTCCCTCATTCTCTTTGGAGGTTTCAAGTACCTGCAATTGCTTTAAGTGGGGTAAGGCCCCTTCTTCTCTGAGTGAGCGA